CTGGAGACGGTGGAGACCAGGGCCACGGCCACCAACTTCTGCACGATCTCCAGGAAGACGTTTCTACCTAACCCGCTCCCGTCTGATCCGTAGAGTTCCAAGCTTTGAACATCACCATGCCCTAGGGAGTCCTATGAAACTCTCCATGTCATCCCACACACATGTGACTCTTATCACACATGTTGAGTCCTTCGTTCTGTTCCCGGGTCTCAGCCAAAAGCGTGATCAGACTGGTTCAGATTAAAGCAAATCCATCTCTCTTGTAGCCATCTCACAATGTCCCAAGTTTCTTCTGAGCTGCCAAAGGCATACTTTGCCAGCAAGTCCTGGGCACCCAGCAAGATCCTCTCTGATGGGGCCACTTCTTGAAGGGTGCTCCTTTCCATCAGCATCTCACTGATGGCCCTGCATCTCAGTATCCGCGCCTGTTCAACCTCATCCTCGTCAAGGAAGGTGCCCACGTCCGAAATATTCATCTCCACTTCTCCGTGCGTCAAGCTGCAACCCTCGAGCATCTGCACCACCATCTGTCCTTCTTCCATCTTCAAAGAGAGCGGCCCTCGAAACGTCAAGGAGATGTAAGCAGCGGTCGATGCCGCCGTGTGACGCGTCCACTGCTCCTGCTTCTCTGGGGTCGGCTTTCCTGACTTCAGAACTGGTTTCAATGTCACTTTGAGATCATCCTGGTGAGTTGCAAATGTGGTGGTCATCCTGCTGCGGCGCAAGAGGAGGTGCTGGCGTGCATAGAGGTACAGGAGGCAACATGGGACCACCACGGCGTAGCCAAAGGCAGTGATGTAGGCGACTATGTCAACTTTGGCTTTGAAGGATGACTCTTTATCGCAAAGAATTTCAGGAATTGCACTTCGGAAGGCAAAGTTCTTGGGCAACTGTTCCTGGGCGCACAAGTTGCAGTTGAGGAATGCTTCACACACCGCATGCAAGCGCAGCTTGTTCATTTAAGTCTCCAAGTCAGCCACGAAAGGCACAATAACGATCCAACACCGCATCTTTGCTTTCTTCTGGTGCCAGGATGGGGTTGTGACTCGAGAAGGTGGGGGGTTTTTGCCTTCCTCACATCGCCCCCCCCCCTCTGTAAACCAGATAGGAGGTATCTCCCCCAAAGCCAAAACCACGCAAACCAGTCCACTGTCAACCTACATTTCTCATTGGTGTTCATGCAAGCTTGATTTCTGAGGAAAGAACAAAACATCTCAACAGCGCTTTCATTTGTGTCCTTCAAATGCCAACAACTCTATCCACTCTGTTGCTTGAAAGGCAGAAGATTCGCCCATGTTGCTGCTAAGGTTGCTTATTTACAAACTTAGATCATCCTGAAGTGAAGCCAAGATTCACCCAGTCCATCCGTCCCCTGGCAACTCAGAAGGTTTGATGAGCTGGACGCTCCTCCAATGTAGAGAAAGGCGATGACCTGCAGGTGTCTGAACTTTCGGGCGAGTCACCGGAAAGAGTGTGCACTTCAAGACACGGCAGGTCACTTGAGGTCTGCATGCCAAACTGAATACACTCAGTCCGACAACGTTCTCACATGTCCAACTCACCCAGGTATGATTTAGACGGGGCGTGGACTGGCCCAAGGTCGTGAGAGTTGAGAAGCTTCAAATCATGCACTTAGTCGGAGTTCTTTGCGCCTCCCGAGATTTGATGACGTGTGGATTAGCACCACACAGGATCGCCTTGGCACCACCTGTGGCATAAAGCAAAGGAGCCAAGGGGCTACAAACGTGGTTTCTACGGTCCTTACAACATCACTATGTCACTATGGTCCAGTGCATTGCCACATTGCTCCACTGCAACTCGACAACACCTTTGTTTGTCTTGCTTGGACCAGCTGGTCTACTCGTCCGCAACTTTGGGTTGACGAACCGACGGCCAAATTCTTGGCGGCGGCATGCGTCGAGCCTGCAACGCCACCGAAATGCCAAGTCCTCGACGTGCGAACTCCAACCCCAAGGACAACACCAGAACAGCGATAGGAAATGCTGGAGCCAGGAGCGCAGACGCCCAGCGCACTGTGGGACCATCCTTGTTGCAACCAAGCTTGAAACCAAGTACGGCAATTAGGGCCGTGCTGGCTGGAAGCAACAACCATGCTTGCAGGCCGCAAAGCAATCAGCTTTGGCTACGCATCAGGAACTTGCAAGGCAACACGTTTTGCACCCACAAGTCCGTGAAAGATTGACTGGATGAGCCGAGCATCGTAGTGGCACTGCAGGTTAAAGACACCTTTCAGGTTTGAAAGGGACAGCTGAAGTGCTTGAATGTACGGCAGCTCCCACAAAGCAGTCGCGGAAGGCTCCTCAGGGTTCAGGGTAGATCTTTGCATCAATCTAAATACATTGACATATATCAGCTACTGGATGACCAAGCAGTCATGTAACGTACTTCCACCTCGCAAGAAACTTACACCGCCTTCTGCCAACTGCCTGTCCTTGATGTTGTCGCTTCCTTCTTCTTCCTGGCTTGAAGACAGCGTAGCCACGACAGACCAAAGCTGACCTCGGTGATTTCAATGCTGGCAACACCTGTTCACACTGGCTGCATGATACTGTTTGCTGCGTTTGGGCTAGTTTGTAAAGGCTCTTAGCAATTCAGTAGTCTCTGCTTCAACAATACATCGATTGCAAGAAAAAATGATCAATGTATAACAATCATGTACCGAGCTTCAGCATTATTCAATGAGCCGAGCGGCATAGTTGGAGAAGAATCGGAGCCTGCACTTTGAGTTGATGCTTCAAGATATTAAAGCCCCTCTGTCGCTGGCTTGTGTCAGGATTTTCCTCTTGCTCCTGACCCTGGTTCCGCAGCCACAGCAGCCCTCCCACCAAGGCCAACATCATGGCGCAGCCCGCAACATACCAAGCACAGTAAACATTGGGAAGGATCAAGGCAGTTGTGCAGCGTTCGCAAGCATCCCTGCTTGAGTAGAATCCAGGGCGGCACTGTCCACACAGGATGCCCGTGTAACCGATGAAGCACCCCGACTCTTCCGCGGACTCATTGTTGGCGCAACGTTCATATGGCGGGAAGCACTTGAATGCCTTGGTCTGGTTCCCAAGCCGCGCGAAGCCAGGGAGTGGCCTTGCCGAGAGAACTTCTGAGCCTGGCGATGGGCGGGTCTTATCAATGTTACAGAACGGTTGTGATCCTTTTCAGCCTATACCAGTTTAGCGGAATCCATTCACTGAACCCTCCAAACCCGCTGAACGTCGTCCAACGGTGGTCGTACAAACGCGAGTCTTGAACCTGTTGAAAGCCAAGTGAACAGTTGAACCTTGAGCACGACACTCCAAGCCTGGCTCTGAGCAGTTCCAGTTGAGCTCGTGGCACTTCACGCACAAATCCCCCTTTGTGCTTCATCCGTTGGACATCCGCAGCGCCTCACTGCCCAAACACGATTAAGCACGCGCGAGTCACATAGCTCACAGTTCACATGGCCGAAAGGTAGCGCCAACATGCAAAGTGCGACAACTTGAAGTGTGAGCACTCCCAAGTTTCGCAAACTGAACATAAATCCTCCAGCGACTCAATTCAGTCTGAGCTCTCCACTCAAATCCGTCCAAGGCACGGAACACCACTTTCGTTGAAGACCTCACCCATCTTGCACCGGCACTGAGTGAGTGACTTGGCTCCTGGATCAGCTTGGCTGCCTTCCGGGCATTGCTGGCAGGCGCCCTCGAAGGAATCTTTGTAGGTGTTCTTCGGGCACTGCTGGCAGGTGGCTCCTGAACCATTCCTCAGACGCGACAAATGGCAGTTTCGGTTTGTATTTCAAGGCTCAGCGTGCATGCATCCATATTGCAGTGAGTACTGCAATGATAGATCCGGATACAACTGCAAACCACTCCAAACCCGAGGAAAATTGCGAATACTGCGTTTCCTCGAGCCTCCAACCCGGGAGGCAGCTGCATAGTCTCTCCGGCGCAAACAGCTCTGGCGAAATTTGAAAAGATTTTGGCAGCACGTCGTAGCCTTGGCTCAGTCTTTGGGAAGCCCGACGATGAAGAAGGTGGAGGAAGCTGCTTGAAACCAACAAGACTGGCAAAACGCCCCTCGACACTTCTTGGGGAACTCTGGACAAGTACTGACTTCTGGTCAAATGCGCTCCTGCCATCTCAGAGATACCATCCATTGAAGATTTCCTGCCCCTTTTGTGCAACGGCTACCTGTCAAAATGCACTTTGCAAGAGTTTGCCATCTCTCAAGAAGCGTAAACATATCTGAAGCACACATAAACGGCAACTGGCTGTCTCAGGGGAAGTGAATGTGGTTTCGCACTCCGTTGAAGTTCTCCGGCGTTCTGTACATCGCTCTATGTGATTGCGCTTTCTATGTTCTTGCTTAGAGCTCTGCCTACAAACAAATGACCTTCCAATCCGAGAAGCAGGCGAAGCCGCGCTCTTCGTTGAACACTGCACGATGCTCGGTAGGTTCTAGAATATGTTGGTCCAAAAGATATGCACTTTCCTCGGCGACAGTCATTCAAAAGGACGGTTGTTTGGGATAGCCCTGAGATCCTCGAAGGTGGCTCAAAGCAAACGGGTTTCGATCCGACCCTTCTGCTTTTCACATAAGAAGTAAACAAGAAAGGTACACGAAACAGAAAAAAGGAACAACGTTGGTATAGTAAGTAGCAAGCTTCAGTCGGATCTTCGAAGGTCACATTCCACAGGTCGAGAGAAACTCTGGCAGTGATGGCTTTGCCGAGCACACCCTTCCCAAACGTCAAGTTGCCGTAATTGCTTGCTGCTGTAAAGCTTTGACAGTTGGGTGGAAGCGCTCCGATGTGTGTCAACTTGTTGGAGGACAAGTCAACGGCCACAGCCTGCACTTGCAGAACGTCCTGGGTGCGGATCTCGCCGCTGAGTCCGGCGTTGGCGGCTTCCAGCCTGCCCAGCGACGGCGAGGCGCGCAGGTTTTGGCAAATGTGAGCTGCTGCACTGTTGAGCGGGCAGCCGCTCAGGTCCAATGTGGCCAACTTTGGGAGAAAGCAGTGGTCATTATCTCCTTTTTCGCAGGACCGAGAGAAGTAGTCGTAGGAAGTTGGATCGAGGGCCACCTTGGTCTCCGCCAGGTTCAAGGCCTGAAGCTGCTGGGAATGACCAAGCCAAGAAACCTCGTCAAGCTTCCCTGACACCTGGGTCCGGGACAAGTCTGCGCTGTTAAGCCCCGGCAACTTGCGCAGCGTGAAGATGTCCCCAGCCACCGTGGTGTTCCGCAGGTTGAGACGTTTCAACCACGCTTTTTGAGGGAGGCCGCTCAAGTCACCGGTCACTTGGGTCTTCCCCAAGTAGAGAAACATCAAACTTGTGGCTTGAGAGAGGCCGCTCAAGTCACCGGTCACTTGGGTGTTGCCCAAGTTGAGAAACACCAACCAAGTGGCTTGAGAGACGCCGCTCAAGTCACCGGTCACTTGGGTGTTCTCCAGGTTGAGACGTTTCAACCTCGTGGCTTGGGAGAGGCCGCTCAAGTCACCGGTCACTTGGGTGTTCTCCAAGCTGAGAAACATCAACCAAGTGGCTTGAGAGACGCCGCTCAAGTCACCGGTCACTTGGGTGTTCTGCAGGGCGAGACTTTTCAACCTCGTGGCTTGGGAGAAGGCGCTCAGGTCGCCAGCCACCTGGGTGTTCTGCAGGCAGAGATGAGTCAACTTCGTGTTCTCGAAGATTTTGAGGTCTGTGACGTTGGTGTTGCCAAGGTCGAGGTGGAGCTCCGTCTCCGCGATTCGCTCGTCCAAGGTGCCCTGCACCTCCTCGAGGCCACTGAAGTTGATCTTGTGGACTTTGCACTGGCTCGGAGGCGAGACGGCTCCGGTGCCGGAGGTGCGAGAGCTCGCATGCGATGCTCTCTCGTGACGGTGATGTTCCAGAAATTTTGCCATGGCCACGGCAGGCTGTCGTTTTCATGCGTGCTCTTCGCATCTCACTTTGAGGCATCTCATCTGTTAGATTCGCTGGATGTTGATGTTTGTCCAACATGTAGTAGGTCGCAGAAGTCATAGGCGCGTCTCACTTTACGCGCCAACCAAGAGGATGTGTGAGGTGTGCCAATGTGAGGGTTGTATGAGGTGAATGGGTATTGACGCTCTCCACCACACAATTAAGAGATGTATCTTATTTCTATGCATGATCAGAGTTGTGAGATTCTCCCGAGAACTTTGTTTCCGAAATCGCTACGCGATTCGCCGACGCCAGTGGGGTGCAAGGGATTTAAAGACCTTTTTCTTTTTCGCGGAAGTCTGAAAGTGCCACAATAAGGCCTTCTTGGCACTTTCCAGCCAGGAAACATGTCCAAGATGCTGGGGATGCTGGAAATGCAAGGGATGCAACCACACAAGGTACACACGCAAAATTGACGTAACACAGAAAATACCAGAGATGTCGGGAATGCTGGGAATGCAGCCGGCTGGCCAGAAAAAAGTCCAACAAACCAGGATTTGTTGATATTTCATATTAGCAACCCGCTTCAAATACCCTAAAATAGACGTCCCAAAAACACGATAATGCAGGGGATGTTTCGCAGTAACTGCTCCGTACAGGTAGGGAATTGCCAAGAATACTCATTCGTGCAAATTCAAACAGTTCCTCAACGTCAGACCCCTAACAGGCCGATTCCAACATCGCTTGAAGCAGCAAAACACCATTAGTATCTGCAAACAAATTCATAACAGCAAGGTAACCCTGATGATGCTGGGGTTGCAGATCCTGTGCGTGCGGGGGAACCCCCCCCCCCTAGAGACCTAGGCGAAACGCAGGTTTTTAGCAGGCAAGCCCCAAAAACACTGGAAAATTACAGGGCTTTAGACACCCAGTACACCATGCCCAAAAAATGGCAGCCCCAAAAGCCTTCGGCTGTGACAAGAGATCTGAAGGAAGACCAAGTTGCGGACTGCCATCTACACGCTCAACTGGCGTCGGCGGATTCATTCTGTCCATTGCAATCATAAGTAGAAAAGAAAGAAAACCAGCAGTTCGACATGATTCGAGTATGTTCGCGTGAGACCTCAGTGGTGCTCTCGCCAGAATGGATTGAAATCTTTGCAATTCAAGCATCCGTGTAACCATCCACCACTCATACCACATGTCTTTGACATCCTTCCCCAAGAGCTTCGCCAGCACTGCCCGAAATGGCGCCTCCTGCGGGCACCCAGGACGGGCGCAGCTGGGCCAAGCAAGTGTCACGTCACACCTCGTCAGGGTGGATCTTACGAGTTTCAGCAAAGGTTGCGTGGCCCAAAAATATGTTTCCAGCTCGTTCCGCCACACGCATTGCCTGCTTGCAAGTCTCAGTACGATGGAGCGGGATGATGACGATGACGATGACGATGATCATGACGATGACGATGACGATGATCATGACGATGACCATGACCATGACGATGACGATGACGATGACGATGACGATGACGATGATCATGACGATGATCATGACGATGATCATGACGATGACGATGACGATGACGATGAAAATGACGATGACGATGACGATGACGATGAAAATGACGATGACGATGACGATGACGATGACGATGAAAATGACGATGACGATGACGATGACGATGACGATGACGATGACGACGATGACGACGATGACGACGATGATGATGATGATGATGATGATGATGATGATGATGATGATGATGATGATGATGATGATGATGATGATGATGATGATGATGATGATATGGACACACCATGGCATCTCCTTGACCACCACCTGAAACGTTCCCACAAACAAAATAGCAAGGATGTATCTGCATATAACCAATGCTCAACAACCAAGGGCTTCAACATTCTGCACCACGGCTTCCACGACTTGCTTCCCCAAGCGTAGGAGGGAAATAGCAAGTCACTCGGCTTTCGCAGGCAGATTTTTTGCATCCCCCAAATGAATCGCAGCCTGCCAGATGCTTGGACCCAGAGGCGAGTTGAAGAGGCATCGAGGGCCGTGTTTGTCATCACTGCTTGCAAGAACAACAAAACAACTTTTGGTTCGCTCCCACCTGCCACAAGCAGACCCGAGCCAGAAAGACAAGATATCTAATCAAGTGATCAACAACAGTGCTTGTATGTTTGGCCGAACTGAAAGTAGTTCACCACTTGGAATATCACACACGAACTCCGCAGGGATAACTTTGCCCCCCGCTTCGGAGGACAGCAACTACTTCACCGAACACCGATTGACCTCTGCCAACACAATTGAACTACAAGGGCTTCTGTACGCACATTAATATAATCCCTATTCAACATAGGAAGGCCCACTCGGTAATGACATACGTGTATTCCTCAAACTAGCTACATTCGACATCCCTGAAAAAACAGCAACCCGCTGGGTGCCTGCGACATTGGCCGTTGAGCAAAAGGGCATGGCCCTGTTTGGGGTTTGTAATCCGTATAACCACCTCAACATTTATGAGCCTTAAATACTCCTAGTAAAGGAAGTTGTGGCAAGAATCACCGAAATTCAGCAATGCAGAAGGAAGCTCGGTCCCAAAAAGCGGCTTGCTAGCGCGCGCTACAGTTCAGTTTTCCTCCAATTGGCGTTTTGGTTTGGTGGTGTGGTTTCCCATTTGGCCTTAACCGGTTCAATTCCAAAGCTCGCCAAAATACCAAGGGCTTGTTATTGAGCCGAATCGGTGGAACCATATCCAGGAACTGGGCTTCGAGGCCTTGGGCTCAACAAGGAATTTTCAGGGCGCACCTTGCTTTTACCCCCATAGCCAAAGAACAAGGAGAGCCGGGGAACCCAAAAACCAAGATGCGAACAAATATTTGTGAATGACTGTCAGCGAACTGCTTGCCCAAGCAGTTTGCAGGCAGGAGCTCGTGGGCAACACAGGCAGACCGACAATGCTGCTATTTGCAAGCAGCCAAAGCTGGCTGCAAGCATCGGACCAGAGCAAGAGGAATGCGAATCCAGGACGCGGCAGTCGAAAATACATCATTGCAACAAGCCAAGGATTGTCACGTTTAACTTCTTGCGGGTTGTGTTCGGCAAAGGGGCGTCTCCCAAGCACGTGTCCGAAGGGCATCACTTCGTGCAATGTTTTTGGGCTATAAGGTGGTTCAGAGGGGACGGCGGCCAGCTCGCGCCGCGCGCGCGCGCGACGCGCGCGCGGCGCGCGCGGCGCGAACAGGCTTGCCCGATCTTGCCAGCGTTGGGTGAAATTCACGGCGTTCCGGCGAGTGGAGGTGTTCCGGCAAGCCCACCACCGGTGCGTTCGGTAGGGCCTCTAGCCAGGATGGGTTGTGCAAGAAACTCACGCACTGAGTTTCGAAGCTGATGCGCCTTGAATATTCCGGAGACTGCGGTGGCCGGCCCCTGCTCTCTGTCCATCAGCGCTGGTCCAAGACCTCAAGAAAGCGGACTCGAACCGGCTAGCGCTGACATCAAGTTCCGGGCCACTGGCAGACAATCTCCACAGGGAGAGGATGACCCTGTCAACACAAAGTCCAAAGTCCTCCACGGCCATGCAGCACATAAATTCCGTGTTCGCTTTCGCCGGGCTTGCCACTTGAGTTTCTTCAGGGTGGCGGAGGCCTGGTGTAAGCACGGCTCCTGGCACATTTGCGAAGGCTGCGGATCCGGCCGGCGCCCCGAACAGGAGCTCCTGAAGGCCGGTCTGCATTGGTCAGGTCCCAGTCCCAGCATACCGCGTGAAAGTTGTGAGGCACAAGGTGCTGGGAAGGAGTCAGCCATACGGGGAAGCCGAGACCCAACGCTCAAACATTGAAGAGTCAATAGTCATGCCCAGCAGGGTATGCCAAGCCCAGCGCTCGCGCAGCGATCGCCCCAGACGCGACCTGGCTGCCAGGGACAATTACCGTCGAGGTCGGCCAAGAGGCCAGCGCCCGCAGTTGCCAGGCATCCAAACGAGCTTCCATGGCTGCGTTCAAAGCCGAAGGCGTCTCGACCTCCACGGACTCAACCATGTCCGCGTCGTCCATATCCATTGCTCGTGGCAAAACACAGACCACACGAGAGGGTAACCCGAGTGAAAAGGGGAACCCCCAAGCACGAAGTGGTCTGGAGCCAAGATGGCCCCGAAGTCTCTCATGCCACTTGGCCCATGACAACCGAGTATAAAAGCGCAGACACTGTCAACTCTGGCAATGTCAGTTTCTATTCGCAACCTCCGCTTGCGATTGAAAAGCTTCACATCTGCATCCAAAAAGATATCTGTTGACGCATGACAAGCATTCGTCTAAGTGTCGGTGAAGGGTCAGGTCATCATCCAGAACGTCGTGGTGGGCAGATCTGGCTGCTGAGATCATATCACTGCCTGAGATGGTCGAAGCATGGAAAGGAACATCCACAAGCAGCGAACCATCGTGTGACCCAACTTGATGCATCCACATGCTTCCCACATCACCCCGCATGCTCCAATGTGCATGCCAACTTTTGCACAAGGACTCCCTATTTCAGCGAGATACGAAGAAGGACAATGAGCTGCCACAGCATGGCAGCTGTCCCCCGCACCATTCGAAAGCAAACATGGAAAGTGGACTTCGCACGGACGTCTGACGCCTGCTTTCAGGCACCAACTTCGAGCCAAGAAAGCGGGACAGTTCCATTGATCCAAGCATTCCCTCGAACCTGGAGGCTTAAGATGCTGAAGCTGGCATCGAACCTTGGCCAAACCACACCGGTGACGTGTGGATCTCTGAGAAACTTCAGCCCGCCAAGTGCAAAAACCTTCGATGGCCCCAACTTTCATGCTCATCGAGCCCTCGTGCCGGACGCTAGACCTCTGTTCAAACATGTCGTGCGAGCCAAAAAACATCCAAATACACTGGCCAAAACCTGGCCAATGCTCCTGCACTGATTGGTCAAAAGACGGGCATCCAATGCACTCCAAGCGGAACTCTCTGCCGGGCCTCC